GGGGTGTACAAGTAATGTTCCAACGGTAATATGGTGGGGTGTACAAGTAATGTTCCAACGGTAATATGGTGGGGTGTACAAGTAATGTTCCAATGGTAATATGGTGGGGTGTACAAGTAATGTTTCATAGGTAATATCATGGGGTGTAGAAGTAACGTTCCAACGGTAATATCATGGGGTGGACAAGTAATGTTCCATAGGTAATATGGTGGGGTGTACAAGTAATGTTTCATAGGTAATATGGTGAGGTGTACAACTAATGTTCCACAGCTAATATCATGGGGTGTACAAGTAATGTTCCTAAGGTAATATAATTAAAAGTACGTTAAATATAGAACATTAAAAGTACATTAAACATAGAACATTAAAAGTATATTAAACATAAAACATTAAAAGTACATTAAACGTAGATTAGTAAAAGTACATTAAACATAGAACATTTAAAGTACATTAAACATAGAACATTAAAAGTATATTAAATATAGAACAGTAAAAGTACAGTAAACATAGAACATTAAAAGTACATTAAATATAGAACATTAAAAGTACATTAAATATAGAACATTAAAGTACAGTGAACATAGAACATTTAAAGTACATTAAACATAGAACATTAAAAGTATATTAAATATAGAACATTAAAAGTACAGTAAACATAGAACATTAAAAGTATATTAAATATAGAACATTAAAAGTACATTAAACATAGAACATTTAAAGTATATTAAATATAGAACATTAAAAGTACAGTAAACATAGAATATTAAAAGTATATTAAATATAGAACATTAAAAGTGCAGTAAACATAGATTAAATATAGCACATTAAAAGTACAGTAAACATAGAATATTAAAAGTATATTAAATATAGAATCATTAAAAGTACTATTAAACATAGAACATTAAAAGTACAGTAAACATAGAACATTAAAAGTACATTAAATATAGAATATTAAAAGTATATTAAATATAGAACATTAAAAGTACATTAAACATAGAACATTTAAAGTACATTAAATATAGAATATTAAAAGTACATTAAACATAGAACATTAAAAGTACAGTAAACATAGAACATTAAAAGTATATTAAATATAGAACATTAAACGACGAAAGATGAAAACAGGAAGTTCATAGTTGTTATGGTTTCCTCTTAACCCTCTCGTAGACAGGAATTTGGAAAATGGGGTTCCAGAAAGATCAGAGGACGTCGAAGTTTTCCTCTTCACCGTCTTGAAGGTTGTCAAAGGTTATTTTCCAGGATGTCCGAGAGATGTTCCTTACTTTATCCTCTTGAAGACAGAAACTGAGATGTTTTAATTGGCTGGAGTCGTTGAAACGTATGTTTGTATAATGAGGAGGTCATCTCCGGTTGTGTGGCATTCTTAGAATGTAACAACTTCTTGAACAGTTGAACTTTTTTGGTTTTTGAAGTTATTTCACAGTAGAAACGTTTTAAGTTTGGTAGTTTGATGGACTTTTTTGGTTTTCTGAAGTTATTTCACAGTAGAAACGGTTTACGTTTGATAGTTTGATGAACTTTTTTGGTTTTACGAAGTTATTTCACGGTAGAAACTGTTTAAGTTTGGTAGTTTATGGACTTTTTTTGGTTTTCTGAAGTTATTTCACAGTAGAAACTGTTTAAGTTTGGTAATTTGTGGACTTTTCTGAAGTTATTTCACAGTAGAAACTGTTTAATTTTGATAGTTTGATGGACTTTTTTGGTATTACGAAGTTATTTCACAGTAGAAACTGTTTAAGTTTAATGGACTTTTTTGGTTTTCTGATGTTATTTCACAGTAGAAATTGTTTAAGTTTGGTAGTTTGTGGACGTTTTTGGTTTTCTGATGTTATTTCACAGTAGAAACTGTTTAAGTTTGGTAGTTTGATGGACTTTTCATTCTTGGGGCCAGTTTCAATAAGCGGATACAATGTGTATTACTTTGTTTTGGTGTTTATGATCCTTAGTAAGGCCCGTATCGAAGATGGGTTTTGTATCATTTGACAATTGTTTTGGTAATACATACATTATTTTGTATTTTATTACAGATATTAATAATATCACGTTAGTTTGCTGTCGTATCTTAATCAATGGAACACATCTGTACACATTGTAGATTTTAAATTGTAAGCGTTTTTTGTTGTTGTTGTTGTTTTTTAATACAGTTTTGTCTAGTTGTCGTGAGGAGATTATGGTTTGTGATTTTGTTAGGCTTAGTTTTAACTGCCTAGTTTTCTTGAGGATATCAAGGCTTGTGTTTTTGTTGGGCTTAGTTTTAACTGGCTAGTTTTCGTGAGGAGATCAAGGCTTGTGTTTTTGTTCGGCTTAGTTTTAACTGGCTAGTTTTAGTGAGGAGATCAAGGCTTGTGATTTTGTTAGGCTTAGTTTTAACTGCCTAGTTTTCGTGAGGAGATTAAGGCTTATGTTTTTGTTGGGCTTAGTTTTAACTGGCTAGTTTTCGTGAGGAGATTAAGGCTTGTGTTTTTGTTGGGTTTAGTTTTCTCTGTAAATGGCAAGCTGGTTTTTTTATATTTTAAACTATCCGCACCTTTGTCGAAATGTTGTAATGATGAGAAATTTAAATATTACTTTCCTTGTGCTGAAATGGGAACATGGTAGGCCTATATAAAATTGTTTTATTTGAAGTATACAAAATAACATTTTAATACTTTCAGAGAAGTAGCAATTGCATAATAATGATTATATTAAATATTTTTTTCAGATCACTTGTTTTTCTTTCCTGTTGCAGAGCCTTGACAAACCAATTACCAAAAAGATCTGCAATGTCAGCGCCCTCTGGAGTGAATGGAATGCTACAGAACGGAGTATTAGCACACAGCCGAACGTCACATTCAACAGTGACACCTATACAGGTGTCTGTTTCATCGTTACTAGGTCCAGCGTCAATGATGAATAGTCCTAGCTTTGTGAATGGGGCCTCGCCGATATCATGTTCAGACATGTATTCAGAAAGTCTCCGTAGGCGAAAAGTTCACAAATGTGACTTTGATGGATGTGAGAAAGTCTATACAAAAAGTTCACACCTGAAGGCGCACAAGAGAACACATACAGGTAGAAGTGTAGTTCGTGTTTGTTTGTTTCTATACATACAGGTAGAAGTGTAGTCCGTGTTTGTTTGTTTCTACACATACAGGTACAAGTGTAGTTCGTGTTTGTCTCTACACATACAGGTAGAAGTGTAGTTCGTGTTTGTTTCTACACATACGGGTAGAAGTGTAGTCCGTGTTTGTCTCTACACATACAGGTAGAAGTGTAGTCCGTGTTTGTTTGTTTCTACACATACATGTAGAAGTGTAGTCCGTGTTTGTCTCTACACATACAGGTAGAAGTGTAGTCCGTGTTTGTTTCTACACATACAGGTAGAAGTGTAGTCCGTGTTTGTTTGTTTCTACACGTACATGTAGAAGTGTAGTCCGTGTTTGTCTCTACACATACAGGTACAAGTGTAGTTCGTGTTTGTTTCTACACATACAGGTAGAAGTGTAGTCCGTGTTTGTTTGTTTCTACACGTACATGTAGAAGTGTAGTCCGTGTTTGTCTCTACACATACAGGTACAAGTGTAGTCCGTGTTTGTTTGTTTCTACACATACAGGTAGAAGTGTAGTCCGTGTTTGTTTGTTTCTACACGTACATGTAGAAGTGTAGTCCGTGTTTGT